ACTTATAACAAAGTAATTACATGATTTTCATAGTATTTAAAGATCATTTAAAGCCTATTTTAGAAAATCATACGACCTAATGAGACACATGCAACATAAAATTATAATTTTCTGATATACCTTGAAAAGAGCAAGGATGTGGCCAATTTGCATGAACAAATGTCGTATAGAGGGGTGCCCGATGACTGAATGATCTTTACAGTAGTGTTTTGCGAAATGAAATTGTTGGCACACAATCATTTTTAATATATATACATGAATAGAAATGGTTTAAAGTCTATACAGCTGATATAGACATGGTCTATTACCCCGAATACTCACTTCATTGTTTGAAGTTAGATTATTACGATCGAATTGGGACATGGACTATCAATTCACATATGAATGATATATTAATTGAATATGACCAATTCTCCCTCATGTATGACGGTTGTAAATTGCTCTCTCTCTCAGTATAATCAGATCACAGCACTTTGGAGGTCGTAGATAAGAGGTCTAGATGCACATTAGGACATTGCATTCGGCCCCTTCGGAGGAATCAGATTCTATAAAAGCTGGAAAAGCACTACATTATAAGAATTTATGATTAAATGTATATGTTTTATTTTCTCTATCTTCCTCCTTTAAACATGGTGATTTATGACTCTATGTTCAATATATCCTTTCATATAAAACAGAGTATTGTATTTATAAATACTAGGTTATATCTTTATAATAGATACACCACTAAGCAACACATGGCTTTAGCGATAGTAATGCTTTTTTGCTATCGCGCGGAAAAAGGCAAGGAAAAAAGACACTAGGAGATGATCATATTTTATTTGATGATAGATAAATATGTATCTGCACTGTAGTAATGTATATTTGACTTTCCTTTTGGAATACATGTATGGATGTAATTAAACAGATCTAACAGACAACATCGTATGTATATTGAGACAGATATATGTAAATTGATATTGTATGAATTTCTAATTATCGTATCTAAGGTTATGAAAAATAATCATCTCAGTATGTAATTAAAAACCCAATCCATAGCGCTTATGAGTTATTGAACCATTTTAATATTTTTGCGAATATAATTTGACTGTTTTAAAGAAATCATATTGAGCCTATGGCAAGTGATGTTTCTATGATTAGTAAATTACGGAAAAAGACATTTCTTTATAACAGATGAAAAACCAAAAGGAGTTTACATTAATAATCAAATCTACTTTTTTCTACAAATAGATTAAATGACATGAAATCAACAGTTTAATTAAGTCCCTCTGTTAGGTATACTTCTTTTTTTGGGGAAAAGATAAAAAATCTCATTACTTAAGGAGAACAAATTCAACTAAAGGGTGGAAATACTATCCCAAATAACATGGCGAGCATGGCGATGGGCAGCATCTAACCTAGAGTATGAGCTCCTGATATTAGCTTGCCCGCGAAAACCCAACCGGGACCTCAAAATAGGGGCGAAAGTCCGTTTGTAAATAGAAGCAATCATGATTAACAAGAACCAGAAACAAAAGAGAAAATCTGGGACAACTAGAGTTGAGAGCAAAAATAACAAGCTGCGGAGTCCACATTACAAAAAACATTCCTGCATTGTGGAAGGGACACTAGAGTTGAGAGCAAAAATAACAAGCTGCGAGTCCACATAAAAACATCCTGCATTGTGGAAGAAGTGCACAGCAAAAAGTAGTCCTTGACGAAGAGCAATCGCCTCAACTATGGCAGAGTCCCTTGTAGTATACTTAGTACGCATTTATAAGACTTAAATGCTTATTAAGTATATTACGAGTGACATGTCATGTCTTACAATAAGGTAAGGTGTGACAAATATAGGCTAGCGACAACTATAATATAGAAAAAAATGAAAATTAAAAACTTCTGTGAATAAACTGATATATATAGCCACATACTGTATATGAAATTTATCACTATCAAAATGCTTAGGAATTATTCATGTTATCAAAAAATGTCAGCCAGCATTTTCATTATTTTAATTTTGATGTGGATATATATATATATATATAGCTTCTAATTTATAATCATCTCTATCAATATTACGATCATTTAAAGTGATTTAGTTGATCTTCCCATATTCTATAAAGAATATAATAAGTAAAAAATTTTATATTTAAGTCCTCTCAATTATAAAAATTATTAATAATTTGACGGATATTGTTTAAAAAAGATTTATATTCCTATTATATATAGCATATTTTTTCAATTCATCGAGCCTCTTCTTATGAATAAATAAAATCAATGCAGCTTTGAGTGTCATAATTATATTTATAAAAACTAAATTCATTAAGGTTGCAGAGTATGAAGGGCAAGGGCATGCCCATGATAATAAATTTGTCCTATTCTTATCACAAATGTCACATCTTTCCCCAAATCATGCCATCTTAATTAAGCCATTCGTTATTTGTATATTTTCCTAATTATTAGTAGTTCTATTTAATTAATGATGAATCAAATACACATGTCATTTTGGGGGGTTAGGACATGCCACGTAATGCAAACTTGATTGATGGTATTATCTATTAACACACATAATTCACAATTATAAGGATATAAAAGTCTTACGTGAAATTAGAATATTAGATGATATGTCTATATATATATCGTGAAATTAGTATAGATATATGTCCCTATATAGATGATATATATACTATAATAATATATTATACTATTAATATTATGGAAGAACCTTGTAATAAGGAAGCAAGGAAATTTTAAGTTGAAAAATAGGAGCAATGCAAATTTGAATGTATATATAATATTTGTGCGATTCTTGTCCCATACTTTTAAAATTGCTTATTAAATATGACACTGATTCTAATCCTTTTCATATATTTTTTTTAAAATACATAATTGATTCAAAGATCAAATTATTTGTTTTTGCTAACTTAATTTATAAGATTTTAAATTTTAACACTAACCATCTACGTGTGCATGCTGGCGATGAATGGAACATGAAGTTTGCTCTTTAGAAGATTAAGCCTAATCATTGAGTTTAGCATCCTAAGCTAGACAATGAGGCCCAATGCACTAACACATACCAACCCAAAAGGAGGTGCCGTAGGCCCATAAGAACTTTTGAATTCGTTGGCCCATATATGGAGACTTGTAATAAGAGCAAGGAAATTTTAAGTGAAAAAGGAGCATGCAAATTGAATTATATATATATTTGGCGATTTCTTGTCCCATACTTTTAAAATTTGCTTATTAAATATGACATAATTACCTTTTCATATATTTTTTTAAATACATATTTTCAAAGATCAATTATTTGTTTTTGCTAATTAAATAATGATTTAAATTTAAACTAACCATCTAGTGTGCATGCTGGATGAATTGACATGAGGCTCTTTAGAAGATTAGCCTAATCATTGAGTTAGCATCCAAGCTAGACATGAGGCCCAATGCACTAACAACAACAACAAAAGGAGGTGCGTAGGCCCATAAACTTTGAATTCGTTGGCCCAATTTGGTTTGTACAGATGACAAAGTGGATAGGACTTACCGAAAGGGTTTATTAATGTTCTTTGTGACAATGCCAAAAAAAAAAAAAATCTTATCATAAATCTCCTGTTACCATGCGAACATATCTAATTTCATAATATCCAAAATAAAATTAATTAATTGGATACAATTTTAATCCAAAAGCATGCACAAAAGGCATTATTACCTCATATTAATGAATTAATAATTACCATAAATTGTCCCTAAACTTAATATATAAATGGGGCAGGTCAATTTGGTAATTGTAGTCATCACAGTGAAAGAAAAATGAAGCGCGTATTTTCCAAACTCTCTGGTATACAGAATCCTCCTCATGCAGGGCTTTTCTTTCCCTTCTTTAATTTTATGTATTAACGATTAATTAATTAATTTGTTTGCTAAATCGTTTTTCAGGGAAGAAGAAATCAAAAGCTCCAAGCAATGTTGAAATGGAAGTTTCTAATAATCAGGCTCAGGCAGTGAACTCCCAGCCAAGTGACAAATATGTAGAGAGTGCAAAACCTGAGGTTAATACTACTAATAACGAGCCTGAGGAAGAAACTGCTACTAACTATAACCAAGAAAATGCAGGAGTACAAGAAGATGCTCCTTCGCATGATTCGAATCAACGAGAATTGATTAACTATGATGTATATAACCGAAGCTTGAGATATGATATTCGAGATCCAGAGGGTCAGATTGAATTTCGTCAGAAATCATGGGAGAGATTAGTCGGTTTTCACCTTGAAAATGATCGTAGATGTTGCTACAATAATGATCATAACCTTATAGATAATTATGCTTGGTGAAGAAACAATTAAACCTTATTAGGTTCCTTTAAAAAAAAAAAAAAAGTCTTATTAGGTTTTCTAAGATAATAATATATTAAGAATTAGGAAATAATTAATTATACCCTGTGTAATAAGAAAAAGTTTACTGGGTTGATATGATATTGTTATATTTACAATAATAAATGATTAGTTTGTTCTTTCTTTATTATGTTCATGTATTATGGTGATACTGATGTTATTACTGGAAATTAATGCACAAATTTCATATATATGTTTATTATATACTGATGCTATGACAGTAAGACATATGAAATGATATGTTTTATTAAAATTATCATGATTTGAAGATATTAATAATTAAAAGTTATTATTTTAATAATAATTGGTATTTTTATTTTTAAAAATAATAATAATAATTAAACAGTTATTTTAAGATATATGGGTTTTCCTTCCATTTGATTGTGTTTTTTTTCCCTGAAGCATTTTGCATGCTTTTCATGATGTACATATATAGCAATAATTTTCTTTTATTAGAATGTAATTAATTAATGGACCTTCTTAACATTTAAATTTATTTATAAAAATAATATACCAATCCCATACATTTATGGTATATATATATATCTTTTTCTCCATCAAGTTGTAGATTAGCACCTTTCAAATTATATTTAAAAAACTAATAAAGAAAAACATAAAAACCATAGTAACTGTCTATCCAATCCTCCATAACTAACCTTTGATTCTCTCCCAGAATAACAAATCACACCCCTCCACATATCAAACATTTTCCCGCCAAAATTATCTTCCCATAAGCTACCAAGCTCGCTCACATTTATAAGCACAATTCACTTCTTTCTCAATCTCTCTCTGCAACTGAAAACCAGAAACCAATATCGGGGAAACCTCCATCAATGGCAACCAAATTTCTCATCTTTTTCACTCTCCTCTCTTTCCTCTCCATTTCCTCTTCTCTCTCCACGGAGACCATTCTCGACGCCGCCGCCACCCTATCGAATTCCGGCTTCAATTCAATGGCCCTAATTCTTGAATTCGGCTCCCAAACCTTAATTCCACCGACCACCTCTCTAACCATCTTCTGTCCTTCTGATACTGCTTTCACTGAATCAGGCCAACCCTCGCTCTCTCTCCTGCGTTTCCATTTCTCTCCACAAACTTTCCGTTTCAATACACTCAAATCCCTACCTCCTGGAACCAAGATTCCTACTCTGTTTTCTAATCATTCACTCATCATCACTTCGACACCGTCTTGTGAAGACCAAGTTTCCCTAAATGGTGTCAAGATTAATGAGTCTGCGATATATAGTAATGGGTCTTTCGTAATTTTTGGAATTCATAAGTTTCTTGATCCAGATTTTGAAGTTTCGGGGTTAATCAGTGGCAGGCCTGTTTCTAGTCTTGACTGCTCCGTTTTGGATAATAATAGTGATTATTCTTTGAAGGAGGCAATTAGGGTTTTGAGATCAAAAGAATATTCTATACTGGCCATGTTTCTTGATTTGCAGTTGGGAGAGTTCAATGACGAGATGATGGTAACAATCTTTGCTCCTGTTGATGAAGTAATGAAGGGGTATATAAGTAAGTTTAGAGAGTATCGGTCAATCTTTTTAAGGCATTTTGTGCCTTGCAAGATTTCAATAAATGATCTAGTTAATTTTGATAATGGGGTGGTTTTACCCTCTTATTTGGAGGGATTTATGATAAATGTTACAAAATCTGGTTACAGTGTGATGCTTAATGGAGTTCAAGTCACAGCTCCTGGCTTGTACTACAATAACTGGCTTGAAGTTCATGGTCTTGAAGATAGTTTTTTGGTGCAAGAAGAGACAGAACACTCTTCAACTGAAAGCAAAAGCAATGACTGTGAGAAAATAGTAGCACCTGACTTTATCTTCATCATAGGCTTTTCTTTTCTGTTTCTGTGCATCTTTTAATTAGTTCATGTTCTTTATTCTGAAAGAACTGTGTTCTAGAAGTTTAGATGCCGTAAATGGAATATTCTTTTAATTCCGAAGTTCAGGATAGAATTGCTCATTGATCTTGTGATTGACAAGTTCATCGTCATAAACTAGTTTGCCAATTGGCATTGTTTTGGAATACATGAAACCCATTTATGAAAAATCCCTTTCAATCAATATAAGAATAACCAAATCATCTACCATATTTCAGAATTTAGATATTACCATCTCACAATCAACAATTTAGTAAGGAAAAATATGAAGGAAATTTTATAGCATTAATATGTAGTCATACACGCTTCCAAACACAGTCTCAATCCAACATCACACCTTAGAGCTTAGAGGACCCAAATCCAGCAGGCAGCAGATAAGCTATTAATCATAGGCCTTAGCACCTCTCATGCTTCTTCAACTGACAAATGGAGTTTTTCTTAGCTTATCAATTTTTTGTGCCAAAAGCACAACAATATGCTTCTTGCCATTATCAAGAAGAGCCTGTTTCAGATTACTAAACAAAGTTGCTGGAGGCCGGATACCCACGTCCAACATTTCCTGAAAGTATTTGCAAGCCATGTCAAGCTTATTTTCATGGCACAAGCTATTAATTATTGTACAGAACATATGCATTCCAGGAAGGATTCCCTTGGCCTTCATTTGATCCCAAATCTGTATTGCCTTGTCCACTCTCTCTGCATTGCAAAACATCCTAACTATAATCTCATAGGTACTAACAGTTGGCTCACATCCCTGCTCACTGCTCATTTTCTCGAAAACTGACAAAGCCTCTTCTGTCCTCTGAGCCTTTATCAGATGATGAAGAATTATATCATATGTTCTCGCATTTGGACCAATCCCATATCTCCTCATCTCATCAACTATTCTGTAAGCATCATCCATTCTCATCAACCAACAGTAAGCTCCCACAACAGCATTGTAAGTAGGCGCCTCTGGAGCAAAACCCTTGGCCTTTGATCGAGAAAAAAACTCGAGTGCTTCACTCAACCTCTTAACAGAACCTAACCCATTAATCAGAGTACAAAAAATGTGAGGACTAGGCTGGCAATTCTTTGCTTCCATCTCGTGGAACAACTCAATTGCATTATCATATTTCATAGATTTACAATATGCATTGATAAGAATACCGTAAGTTACAACATCTGGTTCAAAACCCTCACCTTTCATTTCCCTATAAACCTCATCTAACTTCAAAAGGTTTCTCTCTTGACCCCACCCTTCTAGCAATATTGTGTAAGACTTGATATCAGGCTCGAATCTTCTTTTCTTCATTTTATCGAACATGTCTTGTGCACTCTGGACCTGCCTAGACTTACTCAAAGTGTCAAACAATCTATTAAAGTCTGATGATTCAATCTTCAATCCAAACATCTCCATTTTCTCAAACGTATCGACTGCTTCTTTGACTTTTCTTGCTCTTGCATATCTTCTCGAAATTAGGGTGAACGTCTCCTTACTTAATAAACCTTTTCGCTTCATGTCGCTAACCAAATTCCATATCATTTTAAACTGCCTGATCTTGCCCAGAGATTCAATCAAGGCATTGTAGCTCTCTGTGCTGTACATACACCCTTTTTGTTTTTCTGCCCATTTAAAGAACGACAATGCAAGAAAACCTGCATTGCTTAATTTCTTCAATACCTCAAGAACCAAAGCTGGTGATACCTCAATCGAAACATTATCAAGCAAAGTATCAATGCTAGAATTGGGGTTTTTTGACAATATTCCGCAAATTTTTTCACTATCTTCAGTGATTTTACAGGTTGATATTTCTGGGTTTTGGTTGTCAACGTCGATTAAGACTTGAGTTTGCTCCACATTAGAATGAATTGACCTGTGATAGCAAAAACAAGGCTTTAACGGAAACCTATACGGTTTTTCTGTCAAAATTTGCTTCTTGAAGCTCTCCTGTGAACAAGTGAGTGATCGGATAAGAAAGGATTGATGACATAGAGGAGAAGAGTAAAGATGGTGCCTTTTTGGTATTCTCTGAAGAAGAAATAAAAATCGAAGGCGACCCATCTCGAGAGAAATTAGATTTATCGGACCCTAATACACAGGCAGGAAGAGGCCGAGGTGAAACAGAAATGGTCGGTGGGTAAGCTAGTTTCCAACAATATCTCTGATTCTGCCTTTCATTTTATATTAATTATTGATATTTAGGAGATTCTCTTGACTGTCCCCCAAGTAGTCTTACTCTTACCGACTAATACAAACTCACTACTGACGTTTAAGAGATTCTCTTGCCCTGAAATTTTTTTCCTGTTCAGGAATGACAGGAGATAGTAAAACTCTCAAAGACAACAAGGTTAACTGATCACAAAATTAGAATTCAATGAATGATCTTCTGTTACAACATTATGGAAGAGTGCTAAACAGAATATTAATTTTAACATACAACAGCATGCCAATGGCAGAAGAAAGAGGGAGATCCTCTTATTGATTGAAACTGATAGCGGCTCTAAGAATAAATGCCAGCCCACATGACAGAATACAATCAAAAACCCCCAAGTGAATTCACTCGGCTCTCCTTTAACTCTGCCATCCTATAAAGTATAATTATCCATGACCTACGATTGGAGAAGACCCCAAATGGACCTAAAGGCCAAAGAATCAATCTCTAGCGAAGGTCTTCATCCTTTGAATTCGTCGTTAAAATTCAGATGCAAAATTTGCATCTAGTTGTGGACAATGAGCTTTTAATATGAACTTTCATTTGCATTGATTCATCTGTGAATTCCAATCGTCAAGAAGGTTTTTGATAGCATCTTCAAATTTTTTGGCTTGAGGCCCAGGCTTAACAACATTGACATCACTCCATTGGGAGCAAGGATCCATCCACCAGCTCTTCCGGCCAGTGCACCACGCACCTGGACCAGCTCGATTATATCCCCGCTTCAGGATCTTCTCATCAACCATGTCCAGTACAGGATCATTCCTCTTGAACTGTCTTGCAAAAGCAGCTCCACTTTGAACCATTTGGTCATAATCAGAAACATTCAAGAAGTGCGGTTCCATCTTTGGAGGATTATCCCAGATCACATATCTTAGATCACTGTTTACAGTAGTGTTCTTAAACTCTGGTGCATTGCAAATGACAGAGTGGAAATAGCCCTCTTCAGACAACATCACATTGTTGAAGTACATAAGAAGGGTTCGAGGAAGGTTATCCCAACCAAGAATGCAAAATTCAAGGAATGATCTGCTCAAGATAAACCATGGGGAACCTGCAGTGGAAGAAATAACTGTTATTGCACATAAGAAATAACTGTTATTGCACATAACATTCCACAAAATTAAAGAATATCCAGAGCTTCAGCTTCTAGTAATAACTCTGTGAAAACAGTATACTATTGAGACTAGACTTTGCCTGTGAATACTTTGAAAGCATCAGGTGTTGGCCGCTTCTCTGTAGCATGAAAAATCTGGCTCCTTCTTGCTAGGTAAATTCCAGGGTCAACAACAATAGGCTGGAACCTTTGAGATCTGCACCAAAATCAGGACAATGTGGTTCAGATTTACTTTTACTTCCACACCACAAAAGTACAATTAAATTTACCAAGAAGGGGTTGCCTACTCTTTCCACCCAAGATCACTGGTATGATCTATGAAATTGAGGTCCCTGCTAACAGAAGAGAATACATGGGACAAGTCTGGAAGCAGATAATGAAAGAAAATATAAAAAAGTTAGAATAGCACTAAAGGAAAATGACAAGCAGAATGAAATTATATAAACAGGTGCATGAACATATTAAATTAACAGCGACCAGGGTACATGATACTAAAAGCTTGTTGACAAAACAAACAGCACATGGAAGAAAAAAATAAAGACTAAAAACCTTTGTAATACAATGCAAGAGCAATATATACATCAATTGCATCAAAAGAAATTCAAAGTCATAAGCATATCAACTAGGGGCACGGCATCTTTAAATGAACCCCAGAAATCAAACCAGTGTCAATCTTATCTTGTCAATGAGAGAATCGACAAAAATTTGCCTCAGTTGGGCCTTGACATTTGTGAGCTTTACAAAGGAGACCAACTTCATTTGTCCAATCTCTCTCTCATTCTGTTTATCTTTATAGAACAGCATCAAGCCGTCATTCATAAGCATCAAGTTGATGTTTTCAGTTTCTGCAATCCACATCATATCTATAATCTAGAGAGGAAAAAAAAATGGAGACTCCAGATATCGAAGTGCTTATGAAAGATAAAGCCAGTTGATTAACAAAAATCCCCTTCTCTCTCACATGCACAAGAGACCTAAAATATATAAAGTCATTTTTTTCATATGTTCCAACCACATTATAATCTTTGAAGCTCTAAATTTAAACAATCATATCTCTGTTGTGTATTTGTTACCTATTCGTCATTTCACTCGCTGAAATCTGTTGAAAGAACATGCAACTTCAAGCAATGTCTATATTCTACTGTAGCCTAAAATAGCAAAAGCTATGATAAATACAGATATCTCTATATTTCCATTGTGCTTTAATCTCAATAGTGTCACAGCTAATTTAGCAAAGGAAATGCTCGTCACATAGTGTATTCTATGTCAATACAGTACGATCGTAACATAAATTATTTGCCAATCTGGTAATATTGAAAAAATACAAATATTCAATGCAACAAAATGCATTTACCCATGCACAAAGAAAAAGAATAATAATCTCAAGATTAAACAAATCAGTGTAATTTGAAACAGCCTCAATATTTCTCCAGGTGGAGAAAAAAAATTAAAAGAGAAGCCATATCCTGTTGTGATATCCTGATCAAATCAGGGAAAGACTACAGCTTGATATTCCAAAGGCCAGTGGTAGTCACCATTGAGGCTATAAAACAAATGTATACAAATTGGTTTATTGTAATAAAGAACCTGCAAAAATCGCTGTCTTCATTTTCTGGGTAGATTGAGATTTCTAATAACACTTTTAATTATCATGTATTGTTTAACCAAGATACAATTAAAGCATGCTTCCACACTCACACATTATTACGTTGCAGCCCTGCACAGCATCTGATATAAAATGATCATCCCCCTTTCAAAAGTCCAAATATGTGACACAGATGGATCACAATAAAAGGAAAGAGAATGAGTTATTATATAATGAAAAGCTTCTGATGTTATAGCACTTGGCTCCCTAGAACATGTTAGGCAAGATTGAGTAAAGAGCCATTATAAGCTACCTACATACTAATTCAATTCCCTCTGAGCTCAAGAGCAATTTAGAACAGGTTCAATAGAAACTTCAATTTGTTTGAGACTATCCACAGAATTCATCCAGCCTAAATCTAACTCATTATTTCTATGCAGCACTATGGTTAACTGCAAAAATTCACTGGCTTACAAAGTTTATCACAATTAACTTCTAGAATCTGTCCTAAAACTACCGTAAAATGGTTTTCTTCCCAATACCCACACCTGTTAGCAGTGCAGCTTATAAGGCATCAGTCAGATCTGGTTCTGAACAATAGCCCGGCAATAAGTGCCGTCACTAACACTCTAGTATGGTTTTGAGTATTATGCTAAAACTAGCCTACTCAAAATGGCAAAGATGGTCCAATAAAGCAAAAAACTAGCCTACTCAAGAATTTTATAAAGCTTTGTTGAGTCTGTTATGCATATAGAAAAGTCAACTAGGATGAAACAGAAACGGGTCTACTGACTAGTATCATTCATTCAAATTATATAAATTACCAAACCGTAAATAACAGATTTCAAAGTCAAGAACACCTAATATCAAATGTGTCCAAATAATTAAGACTTTAGGAAGACGCTAAGTGTGAAAGGCAACTCATGGGAAAATTAGCAAATCAATATATGTTGATCTTTAAGAATGACAATTGCAAGAACCTTATTATCAAGAGACGACAATGTACTTAATTGAATACACAAATAAATCTAAACAAATATCACTGGCAATGCATATTAAATTTTGAACAAATGAAGTCCCAATTTTCATGTTTCTTTGCCAGCATATTCATTTAAAAAAAATAATAATAACCTTTCAGCATCAATTATCAATTATATTGTTAACCAATAAGTTTTCTCCAAATATAGATAAACTAACTACAATACAGATGCTATGAACTACTCCTAAAAATGAACAACCCCCCAAATCACACGTATTCGATCTCAAAACCACACACCAATCAGAAAAATTCAAACAAACAAACCCAAAAAAAAAAAAAAAAAAAATGGCACTCCATTGGGAAAATTAGCAAATCTAAGTAATTAATGTGACTTAAAGATGACAATTGCAAGAACAACCTGTTTATCAGAGACGAACAATCGTAAACTTTAAATTGATACATCAAATAAATCTAACAACATAATCACTGGCAATGCATATTAAAATTTTGAACAAATGAAGTCCCAATTTCAATGTTTCTTTGCCAGCATTATTCATTTTTAAAAAAAATAATAATTTAACCTTTCAGCATCATTACAAATTATATTGTTAACCAATTAAAGTTTTCTCTCATATATGAGATAAATAAACACAATATCAGATGCTTATGAACTACTCTAAAATTCACAACCCTCAAATCACACTTTCGTAAATTCGGATCTCAAAACCGACGACACCAAATCAGAAAAAATACTTCAAACAAACAAAGCCGCAAAAAAAAAAAAATAAAAATTGTTCCAAAATCCACATACCCGTCTTGAGTCAACAAGGGATAATCCGATGCAACTCCAATTGCACAAACCAGTTTCCATCCTGGAGTGGCACCTTCAAACAAAAATGGCCAGCCGCACCGCAACAGCGAAAAAAAAAAAAAAAAAAAATCCAAAATCACATACCGTCTTGAGTCAACAAGGGATAATCCGATGCACTCAATTGCACAAACCAGTTCCATCCTGAGTGCACCTTCAACAAAATGGCAGCCGCACGCAGCGTTGCAGCCAAATTAGAGGAGCCCATATATACAAGCCGACTAGGCTTCCCTACCACATCAACATTTGCAAAAGATCTTATTGCAGGCACTGAATTTATTGCCCCAACAAGTCTCACTCTCTCCTCATCTGATGCATCAGCACCCAAATGCAACAAGTAATTGTTCCTCGGATGATAGACAGCCAGCAACAACCGGAGGATCCGGTTACCATCACCCCGGCCCCCGGAGATATAGTATGCGAAGGCAGGAGGGTAGTGGGTCCCATGCTGGACTACAGAAGGGAAGGGTTTTGGGGAGCTGAAAGCAGAGATTGAGTAGAATAAGAGAAACAGGAGAGAAAGAAATGTTGCAGAGAAGAGCGTGAAAAGCCATCTTTTCTCTGCTCCCATAATACTAACGATATTCTAATGTCAAATCTGTCCCTCGTTCTTGTAGTAGGCGATCAACTTGATGATGGGGCATATGTGGTACAAAATCAAATCTAAGTAAACAAAATTTTCAGCTAAATTGAAGGTTTAGATAGAAAATTGTGACATGGATAATGAACGATTGAACACTAACCATAGCCATTAGGCTTCTGATGATAAACAGAAAAGATGGGTATAAACAAAAGTTAAAGCTTTTTGAGGGGCATATTTCAAATTTTCAGGTCAAACAAAGAGATGGCTATCTGTCATATGAAGATTCTGGAGTCGAATTCGGGGTTTGAGATGGAACAGAGAGATGGGTACGTGGGGATCTTGAAGTTTGTGGGTCTGGTGTGAAGTTCAGGGTAGTTAGGTAACATTGGGTGCTCAATGTTGAAGAGAGAGAATATTTTTTTTTTTTTTCCTCTTTCACACTCTCTATTTTACTCTCTGCTGTTTCTCTCTGACTGAATGAATGTGCATAAATATATGTTCGAATCCTTTTTCTTATTTTACTACTTCCCAGATTAGGGTTAGGGTTTTCAGGCAAGATTCATTTTCTTGCAAAGCGAGGGAAATGGAAAATAAATTGCGAGCCTCTGTAATGACAATTCTTATGTCGATTTTTGATCCAAGAAATAAGTTTTAACTTACGTGTGAGTAACAACAAGTTTTGGTGATCTAATGTCAAAAAAAAAAAAAAAGTTTTGGTGATCTGTTGCAAGATTTTCACTTCGAATTCACAGGGAGCAATCCACGCGCCACAGAGGAGAAACATTTGTACACGGTGGGATGTGGATTCTTTTCTTGTCCGTTGGATTATGAGATGCAATCCACGCGCCAGTTTGAAGTGTCGGAGAAGTGTGATTTTTATTTCCTTTTCTTGCTGTTTTTTCTGTTTTTTTTTTTATTTGACCGACGGAATCTGGAAGTGCTCAATTGTTTTCGGTGATTGGAATGTGAGTGAAAATGTTTTTTTCACTTATAGATTTGTTCGAATTTGGGGTTATTTATTTTTATTATTACGTATATATCTTAATAATTTTTTCATTAATAATTTTATTGAAGTAATGCTCATGCTTTTCTTTTTATTGATATAAATAAAATGATAAGTTAATTTTCGATATTCAATATCATCATCATCGTAATTCCATTCAAAAGAAAAAGAAGATATTCAATCATAATTTAATTATTTTTTAAATAAATTATTATCTAAAATCTCTTGATTATATTTAAATACACTGATTACGGATCTTATTTTCAAATTTTAAAAATATTTTATCTTTGTAATCCTATCTAATCCTTCTACTCATTTTTATCCTCAATTGTTAGTGAAATTTCTTTATTATTTAACAAATATATGTGCTAATCAATAATTACGTATGTAAAAGTGACTTTACTCGGTTATATTCAATACACCAACTAGAATTTTTTATTTTTAAAATTTAATGACATAGTCTTTTAATTTTATTTCAATTAATACTATTTAATCCTTCTGACCAGTATTAAATCTAACAAAAGGATTAAGTAATTAGATATAAAATCTAAGGACTTATGTGATTAAATTTTAAAAATTAGACTCCTAAGAGCATACATAAATGGATCAAATAGTAATTCCTTATTTTCCATGTAATTTTTCTGGTGAGTATTGTATGATATTTTTCTCTTTGTTAGAATCCTTTAACTAATTTATTATTAATTTGGTTTGGTTTAATTAAATGTTATGAAATAAAAAGATAAAATCAAATTAAGTTAAAAGGATAAATAAAAGGATATTTAATTAATTAAGATAAGAATGAGGTGGGTAAAGAAATTATTTTGAAGTGATAAAATTAGTTATAAATAATAGATATCAGCATATGCGACCACCAATATTCACCTTAATAAGTATACGTAAAAAAAAACAACATAAACACAATAATGTTTCAATTCATTTACTTTATAATTCAATGCATTTTTTTAAAAAAAAAAAAAATTCAAAAAATAGAATGGGAAAGCACGCATTCAATAGAGTTGATATGATCTAATTATTTGGCACATCCACATGCTATATTTGAAGTGATCAGATTGTTTTTTAGAGTAAAATTGCTTTTTCTAAAAGCAAAATCATAACATAGTAAGAACACACAAAATGTGTTAATATTAGTACATTGTTATTAGTGTATAGCAAAATCAAATTAAGATGTTTGTGAGACATTAGCCACTTAGCTGCGAGTATGGATTATGTTTGCCTACCATCTTTCTTTCTCCACCGACAGCAGGAAATAATTCTGAGAGGAACGTCCACAATAAATTCTTGTATTTATTCCATAAGTATATACTTTAGATTTATGCATGTGAAATTGGGTGTTTTAGTATCATATTAAATGCCCAAAAGAAAAGGAAGGAATAAAGTTGTATGGTGGCATATGCTTATAATTGAAACGTAAATTTTTCTTATTATGGTCATGCTCCAGTGTAATCGGAATTCACTTTATAAATTGTCTCCATTCACATTTTATTAAGAAATTCACAAAAAAAAAAAAAAAAAAAAAAAAAAAAAAAAAAAAAAAAAAAAAAAAAAAAAAAAAAAAAAAAAAAGAAAGAAATAAAAGAAATCACTAGCAGCAAAATTCTTTGTTTATTCCAAGGCAATCTCAAATAGTGTGTTATTACAACCTCACTCACCGAAAATTACAGTTGTATCTTTTTAATTGAACTTGCAATATATCTGTTTATTATTTGACATACAATATGGTTAAATTACTTGCACACCATGATGTATTATCGCCAAAGAAACTTAACTCAGCGCAAAATGCCATCCTGCGAAGACCAGAATGGCTTATTTCTTTCTGTAAGACAGTAATAGTTTCCAGATACCTATTTGTTACCCTCTGATTGTTTTCCCATTGTGTTCTGTTCTTCAAGTTTCTGAAAGTTCTTCAAATGCTCAAATAGAGTTAACCGAATCTTCATCGCTGCCTTCACTGTCGCTACTGCTGCTGCTCCCACTGCCACTTCCACTTCCGCTGCTTCCACTTTCACTGCTGCTGCTAGAACTGGAGGTCTGTTCATCCCTCTCTTGGGCATTAACCTGGGCTCTAAGTGCTTCTGCAGCATTGCGCCCCTTTTCAACTTCATCGCCACTATCATCAACATCAGCAATCTCATCATCTGTATCATTTTGTCGTGGTACACGGACATCAACTCCACCATCGCCTTTTTGTTCAGCTGTGTTATCATATGGTGAACTAGAACCAAAGATGTCCTCAATATCTATATCTTGATGCTCTTCAGCTTCTTCATTTTTAGGACTTGGCCAGGAATTCGATACATTTGGCTGATCAGTTGGATTCCCAGAAATCCCTTTACTGGCAGCTTTGGCACCTATCATTGCATAAGAGTATTATTATGCACAAAAGGATGGAGCATGTAAAAGCAATTTGGCAGTCTCACATATTACCAAACTATAGCATTAATTATCAATAATACCCATACTCTTCAATTAATAATCATATGCAAAAAAATCACCAGAAACAACCTCTAAGCACCAATTTCTACTTGTTAGAGGTCGGTTTGAACTAATTTTTCTATATGGATGGGGTAAGGTATTAATACATCTGACACATAAATCAAATGTGGAAATTTGTCCTCTAAAAAAGAAAATATTGAATGAATTGATCATAACTTACGAGATTTGACTATCTCGTTATCAACACATTTGAAGAGGGAAGAAGTGAGGGCCAGTGTTAGATCTTTTACTTAGCTGAAAATTCAGCTACTTAAAACATATCCTGGATATCAAGAATACACAAGTGCAGAGACGCAGAAAAGAAAATTGCCTAAAAGAAGATACACACTTAAGACCAGAAGCTGGAACAGCTAACAAGCCAAAATAGAACAAAAGATGCAATTTATGTTTGTAAATTTCTAAACTTTATAATAGGGTTATGAACTTGCATACTAAGTGATTTTGGACATAGATTTTTAAAATATAAATTTTAGAAGGGTCTCAACCTTGAGATCGACGTGCAAATATGCAAGAAATCCATGATGATGAGTCTTAGAGGAGAAAAGATTGCTCAGAAAAGAATACCATCTAATTTCCTCCATAAAATCAGACAAGCCTCATGCCCAAAAAAAAATGTCAGTGGAAAGCATAAAACAGAAATTGAAGGGTTTTTTTGCAAGTTCTGAAAGAAATCCAAGAAACAAAGGTTGATCATTGAATATTTAGGAAGCATCTTCAACAAATCTCTTCTATAATTGTATATGCAAATTGAAAATGATTTTTTCCCCACTTGTTATTCTTTTGATTAATCTCTATACAGTTCTTGCAAGTAAAATGTTCTAGTGTGCAGTCCATGATTCCACAAAACACATGAATAACATAAGAGATGAGAAGTGCAGAAGTTACTTAGTTCAAGAAATTTTGGAAGGCCCTGTTGCCAAAAAAAAAAAAAAAAAAAAAATGTTGCCAAAAAAAAAAAAAAAAAAAAAAAAACCTATTTCTATAGTCACTTCACCATTTCTAACAGAAAATTTAATTTTTCTGTTTTCAAGTGGAAATTTATCAGGTTTCATATTCTTTGAAACTGGATTGATATTATGCCAAGGAATTATAGTTATCCAGAAAAAAGTTTATGACCAAAACATGGCAAAACATTAAAGATATGCCAAAACCCCAAAAGCTTGCATACCTGGAATTTGTGGTTCACCAACATCAATTCTTTCCACCTCAACCTGTGGCGATGTCAAGCAAAAAAAACAAAGAACAATCAGAACACGTCAAGAAGAAAGTGAAAATAATTCAGTTTTCTTTTGATAAGAAAATTATTCAGAAAACAAGGGCAAAACATAGGAAAAAAGAAATAAAAAACTTAAAGGCCAGCTTAAATTGGAGCAGCAACTAACAATAAAAGTTATCTTAAGTCCTGAAATAAATCAATTAAATTAAAAAGCTTTAAAAATGACCAAAAAACTTAAAACCTTTAATTGATAAACAAAAGACCAGACTAGTACTCACAATTAACAATTACGCCCACAAGTACCAAATCAACAGGTACATGAATGAGTGCAATAGCCAGACAATCAAAAAGGAAGGGGGAACCATGGTCCCATAAAGTAAAAATATATCAGTCTTATGGCTATCAGAAACAGCACAAGTGATGCTTCAAAGGAGCGGGAAGAGGTTTGAATTTTATGGACTAGATGGCCTCATTTTATTCTAAATGGTCATACATGATTTTATTTCCTTCTGCTATCTAATCTAACTCAAAGGTTTATTTGTGAATGGAATAAATGCCTGGGACTAGCAATCACATACATTGCATAGTACACTGTTGTAATCAACCATATTATATTCAGCAACTGACACTACAAGACAATTTATGTTCTTCCACCTCTTCAATTTTAGTACTGATAGCAAATTTCTGCTGTATCGGACACTAGGATTTTCCTGATTCACTGATTTAACTATTGATCTTCCGTTAGTAATATACCAACCAAAACATCAAAATTTACTCCAAATACATATAAAATTAAGTCTCACCGGCACAGGAGGGAAAGGGGTGCTTCTCCCAATCTGCATAGGTTTCAAACCCTTCCCAACCGGAGATAACCGGGGCTCAATGGCAGGCCCAGATTGACCAGCTGCCACTGCTGCAGCAGTAGCAGATTCACCCGGTAGCCGGAGGTGTCGGAGCTGCTTCACAGCCCGGTGAAGCCTCTCCATTCTCAATGTCTCGCCTTCGAAGAATAAAACGCCATCGTTTTCTTTGTAATCCTCGCTACTTCCTTCAAATGTAACTTTAGGTTTTCCCAATTGATTGTTTTGAAACTCCACAGAAACTCTATTTTCCTTATTTTTATGCAATGATCCAACCTTACTCTTATCAATCGAAGCTGGTTTAAATTCATCTACAACCAAAGAACCAAAACCATAGTTGCCATTGAAATTCAATTCCTGCATTTTTCACAAATCAAAAACAATAATCTAAAAAAACAAACTCTTACATCGCAAAGTGCAGTACTTATTATTCGAGGCGTCTTCTTTGAAGGAAGGGCCTAGAGTTAGATTGTACCAGCGACCGGGTTGTGGAGCCGTTTTAGGCTCTTCCTTGGAGTTGTGAGCCATGTTTGTTACTTATTTTTTGTAGTGATCAAATACTAAAGGACTGGATTTGGAGGGAAAGTGTAAAAGCCCGGACGGGACCCACAGTGTGATGACATGACAAGATCTGAACTCGGAGAGAGAAGCTTCCGATGAGGTCCACTGGCACTGCTGCTTTTTTGCTGCAGAAGAACAGCTTATCTCATCTAGGGTTTTTTGTTTTCTTTCTTGGCGTTGAAGAAGACGGAGAGAGCAACGGACATTGAGCAAAGATTCCCTGTGGACAAGCTTATGATGGTACATCATAAAGGCGAGATAGTGCGTGCCACGTGGTCAGAGAATAAGGAGTGATCTGACATTGAGTATAAGTGAGTGGCCATGTGTTCTAGAAACAAGCAGAAACATTCATATAGTCGATTGAAGAATCGGACCCACGTGCCGTATATGGAGTGTCGAGTGTGGGACCTCATCATTCACATTTCTGCACGTGCTGTAGACGTGCTTACGACAAGCGGGACACTAAGAATAACGTGGCTTGTTTTTCTTTTAGGAGAGACATTATATACATTTATTTGATAATAATAATTAAATATAATTCGATTAGAATTCAAACTTAAGTTATGAGCTATGATGCACGCACAGGAAAATATGAAGTCGGGAAAATGATATTTTTTTAAATATTATAAATAAAAATGTGAAAAAAATGTGTAAATATTAAAAATATATAAGTTTATTTATAAAATTTAAAAATATAAAAATAATTTAGAAAGAGTATGTTTATAATTTTAAAGAACAATCAACCACAGATAAATTTTTCTATCTATAATTAAAAATAAATTATATCTAAAAGAGAGAAAAATAAATTATATCTAAAAGAGAGAAAAAAAAATGTTTATAAGTTCCATGCTCATGAAAGAACAAAGAAAACAAAATATTCAAATGTCAAAATGGAAAAATATAATGAAATTCTGTTAAATTTGAAGTTTGAATATTGAAATTAAAAGTAGGATTATTTGTGCTTTTCCAAATAGGATTTGCAAATCATCTAAATTTGATTTGGATTTGAAATCTGATTGTTTTCTTTAATGCAAGAAACGTTTCCAGAGAGAGGAAACTAGTGTCCGATTTTCAGTATTTACATAAACAGACCCGACTCGTTTTCGAACCGTTTCTGGGTATTTCTATTTTCGAAAAAACATCAAGCCTCTTACGTGTCCGTGCATCACAGGTTATGAGTTATGACTGGTTGGGACTAAAATCGAATTCAAAAAAGTTTGAACCAAAATTAGTTTGAAAATTTCAGTTTCTAAAAAAAAAAAAAAAAAAAAAAAAAATTTGTTTTTTTTTTATCTCTCTCCTACAAATTCTAAACCAAAATTGGGCCAAAGTCATTTATTAAATCAACAATTCTCCTCTTTTTGATTTTAAATTAAAAAATAAATAAATTGCACTAACCGGCCTTCGATTAGATTGAGAACCAATTTTCAGAATGCAAAATTAGATTGTTCGACAAAATTAACTATTTTGATTACCGTTAACTATTTTGATAACATTTTAAGTATTAGTTGTTTTATTAACTTTTCATAAAATTCTAAAAATTAAAAGTTACATGCGTTAATTTTATTATTGTAACCTCTAAAAATTAGTCCAAATGGTATATTATCGAACACTATAAAAAAACCGTGTTTATATCAAATAAAGACTACTTAAAACGTTATCCTCAAACACAGTCTCACGAGTTCAATAAAAGAACAGCAAATATTATAAAACCATTGCCGAAAAGCATTTTATAATAAAAGAATGCTCTAGAATATTGTCAAAGATTCATGTCATATATAAAACCAAACATTATAATCTATTAGCTTAGCTTATGTCAACATTTTTTAGTTGCAAGCTAGCTAGCAACTAGCAAGCATCCTTACAACTTCCAGCTGGTAATTTTCTAATTACTATCAGCAACATGTGTCTTCTATTCTCCTCTTATGGTGGCGTTTATAGCTCTTGATTTATACGCACTCAATCTATATTTTAGGTTACTTAGTAAAGATTGCATTTTAAATAAACTTGGACATAAAGTTAAATTATGCACATTTATTGTTAGAATTGAAAGAATATAAACCTTCAACGCCTCCAGGTCTCTGCCAAGAAAACCACATAAAAAATGATTGCAGGTGTCAATAATTAGGTAGAAGAGATAGTTATTTTCCTAATTTAGTGTAAGAAAGTCAGAGAAAGAAACGGGAAATGAAAAAGTCAAAGCCATTAAGCAATAATTGCGCATGGCTTAGAACCTAAGAACCATCCATTTTCGTGAAGCGGTCTAAACACCATCAATGCATAAAATACTACAAAGATAAACAAATCACTCAAAAACAAGAGAGAAAAAAGGAGGGAGAGTGCGAAAGCAGTCTCTCTTTTTTGAATCTCTCTAAAACAAACACATTATACAACACAAAAGTATTATTATTAGATTAATTTTTAATTATTATCTTTTCCTTCTTTCTTCTTGATTATAAGAAGAAGAACAACAACAATAATAATAATAATAATAATAATTTTTTTTGTATTCAATTAATTAAATAATTTTACTTGGTTGATGTCTAGATATAATAGCTTAGACCAAGATCATATTTATTTTGAAGATCCCTTCTGCAAATTTTCTTCATGGAAAGCATTGCCAGAAGTCGAGCTTTCTCATCTCCTGATTTGGCACCTTCTTCTACTAGTCAAGCTATACGGCCAGAAGATTACAGCTTAGAAGGTAATTTATATTAATTATACAAATATAATTCAATTCCTTCATTTAATTTTCTTCTCTAATAACTCTCTCTATCTCTTTTTTTTTCTTGTTCATGAAATGACAAGATCAAACATGAAGCTAATTATAATCAAGATCTTTTCTTTCTCTCATTTTTTTAAAAGATTAATTTATTATAATCAAGATATTTTTCTTTTTCTTTTTTTCTTTGGTAATTATATATGTTGCAGGCATTGCTACAAATGTGAAGCTATTGCTAAAACTAATTCAAGAACATAATGGAGCAAGTACTAATGATGACCGGAAAATGCAAAGAATTGCTGGAATGATAACAATTCTAGATGACGTAAAATCAAGAATTGAAAAATCTCAATCTGCAAGGAAAAGATTAGCTGAGCTAAGGAGATGCAATACGGACCTAAGGCCTAATCGCGCTCCGAGGGACAAGAAGCCTCAAGAAGGTGAAGATAATAATCACGAGAAGCTAAGAAGACAACTTAGTGCAAGCTTTGCAGCAAGAAAAAGCCTAGAAATTATGTGTTCAAGTTTAGGAAAGGAAAGGGCAATTATGTCATCTGAGCTTGCAAGAAAAGTTCATGAAGTGAATGAAATGGAAGAACTTGTTAATGACCTGAAAACGCAAAATGAGACATTATTAGCAAAGCTACAATCTCACCATGCAGAGAATAAGAAAACTAATGGAGGTGAATCTCAAGGAAATGCAGCTCTCGAGGATCGAAACAAGGCACTTTCAGCTCAGCTTCTTAAGTCACTCGATAGTTATCGATCTTTAAAGAGGAAATACAGGGACTTAAAAGAAGAAAACTTGGGATTTCGAACAACAATGGAGGAAATTGGGACGGAAGTAACATCTGGTCTTGAACAGATTCGTAGCTTCAAGCAAAGAATGGCCTCAAGTAAAGATCAATCAGCAGATATTCAAGAGGAGATTTCAGCATTAGAGCAAATGTTCGAGCGATTTAATATGAAAATACTAAGACATGAGGAAAAGAATATTGAATGTGGTAAACCAAAATCTAATATTAGCCCCAGCAAACCTCTTCTCGCATGAGAAGAAAAGCCAAAGCTGCACACTTTAGAATTTTGCTGCTGATTTTGGTTTTCTATATGTTATATATAATTCATTGGCAGAAGAAGATGCAAAATTTTGGATGTTCGGTATGAGTTATTGTTAAGAGGGAAGCAGTTGTGATGTGTTGAAGTACAAGTAATTAATTAGAAGCATATTACAAGTTCATGTTCAATTGGTTAGTTGAGTTGCTTAGTTTACTGTCTGTCTATCTCCAAATAGTTTATACAATTCCAAATTTTGTTTTCTTCTTGATTACATTATGTAATTTCTCCAGTTTCTGTACATTAATCGGAAGCTTTTATAATTCAATACCATATGTGACAAATGGTAAGCTTCAAATCTCTCCGTCCATAGTACAGAGAACAATATTTGAACATACAAGAGAAATGTTATTAAAAATAATTGGGTCTTTAATTTGTTAATTGTTCTGGGTATGTCTATACATGCTTATAACATCTAATAAAACTTAAAAAAACTCTGATAATATACAGGGGTATCTCAATTGAACGTATCACCGTTATTCAGCAAAACTTGCAATTTACAAGCTGCTATGGAATTCAAAATCCAAGAATTGCTCACTGCCTTGGCTCCCGTTGCACTTGCCAGAGCTTCAGCATCAGACCTCCTTCGATTTAAAATCATATCCTTCCTGCTTAAATCACACTTACCAGGTAGCTCCAGGCTATAAATTACGAAGGTTGAAGGTGAAGGGGAACCCAATGATGAGATACTATCACCTCCAGAAATGGGCTTTCTATGCAGAATAGATCCTCCACCAGCAACAAGAAGATCTTGAATATATCCCTTGTAAGAAGCTACAAAATCTCCCATCAAATAGAATTTGAACCCCTCAAAAAGTTTTGGCCGCTGCAAAAAAATAAAAAAAAATCATTATAAACTTAGCAGACAAGAAGATGCGAGTGCATAATATTACTAAGCTCAGCATGAAAGAAACTGTAACAGAATACCCCCATTCCATAAAGGCAAGAATTACAATCAATATATAGTATCTAGAGAAGCTTCCTAAAGGTGGCAAGATAAACGATATCCCATTTCTGAGAAAAATGGTGGCGTGGTGTAATGTTACAAATCCAACACAAGCAAATTTCAAAAGAACAGCTTTTTTTTTTTTCTTTTTTTTTGGTTGTGCACGATACCATCACTTAATAATTTGACAGAGATGATTAGATAAAAAAGAAAGCAAGAAAGCATCAAGCCCCATTAATATTAGACATGCACGAGACTGGGGCTTGCAAATGAGAGCATAATTCCCAAGAGTGCAAAGTGGACTTGCAATCAAATTAAAGTAAACCTTGTTCAGGATTCTCAGTCTTCCAAGTTGGGGACCATCCCTAATTCCATGAGTATCAACCATAACTTCATATTGATCCTCTTGAACGGGTTTCATGGCCTTCATGCAAGCCTTAATCCCTACATAAAAGGAGATAAATTTAAAAGTTTAGTGTGAACAGAATTATGCAATTCAATATACATATGAATTTGCATTGCACATATACAGGTGCATGTGAAAGTTCAAAATATAAGGAAATAAAACCATTCAATTGAAATGGTACTAACACTGAATATTCAGTATCCATTTGCCCTCTAAGATACCCATTAAAATTTTAAGGGTCCTTCTGAATGCTCCATTTTCATCTGTTGATACAATGACATGGGTGACACTCAAATTCCAATTTTTCAACACTGTAGCTCCAGATAACCTTTGAAATTCAGAAACCAATTCCTGCAGCAAACAACAAAAGGTTATTTTTTATTTATATTTTTTTTTCAGTTTAAATAATACCAAGCTGAAATGTGTCTCTAGACCATTACCCTTTCCTCAACTGTCAGAGCAGAACAACAAAGAATCAATTTTTTGGGAGTTGCACTCCAATTCCAACTTGGATGTGTACTTGCATCATGTTTAAAAACAACTTGATTGCACTTGTTGGGATTCTGTCTGCAAGATAGGACAGATTCCTACGTCAAATAAATGCTCCACTGACTATTAGAATAAATCCAACTAAAGATTCAGAATACCTTTTTGGAATGCATTTCTTTCTAATTCTCTCTTGAGATTCTGATTCTTCGGTAGGCAACTTAGAAAAAGTATGAAGAGGGCATAACATGACAAAGTTGTCCTGTTGCAACAGATTTGAGAGAATTAAACGATATTGAACTAGGCACGCTAAATAGATTTTGAGTAAGGGGCAACAGAAGTTTAATTTGTGACACTTAACAGTATCCCATCGACACTGGGGCATCATCTTTGCACATGGGACATGAAAACTTTTACGACAGCTCTTTTCATAACATCCTAGAGCAGCACCTTTGAGTCCACAGCAGCAGCACTTCATCCTCCTACTTCTAGTTAATTCGGCTTCAAGGTTAATAGCAGTATCATCCTCAAAATAAACATTAGGCGCCCTGCGCAGACAAATTTGAGTATCCGTATCATGTCTGTAACATTAACATTACAAGCATTGAAGACAGACCAAGAAGGATTGCAAAGATCAACCCGTCTATCATTAATGTTGCTAATAGAAGTTAACCAAATATATGAAAACTCGTTGGTCGTTTTAGCTAGAACTCGCATCATAATAGTCATATCTAAAGGAAATATCTGAATTATGGAGTTTATAAGTTTACAGAGCACTTGAAACAGCTTATTTGAATCATGACTGCCTGAATTGTTTCACAAGTACCTTGACGTATATGATGGTAAAAATGAAAGAAATTCGAAAGCTATTTCTATACAAATTTACTCATGTCCTTTCTAGCTCTGTTAAACTAAATGAAGCAACCAACTAGATGTCCTTGGATTAAGAAACAAAAAAAAAAAAAAAAAAAAAAAAAAAAAAAAAAAAGAAAAGAAAAGAAAAGAATATGCTATGATAGTTCACTTGAAGTAGAATCTTACCACTCAGCACAATTTCTATGAGAGTGTATGACCTTGGATCCAGCATTGTAGTTGGCAACTACAGGCCTGCCATTGTAGTAGTGGACCATCTCTCCCGAGGCCTATTATTTTGTTTGCATATTCAGAAACAGAGATCAACGGCTTATGGAGATATGGAAAGGAGGAAACATAAAAAATATGCAACTCAAAAACTAGGGAGTGATAGATACCTCTGTGTCTTCTGAAGAAAGACAAAACGCACATTGAATTTTCTGAGCAAGTGTTTGGCAAGCACGTAAAGCCACTCCATTTGCTCGCCTAAGCTTCCCTAGTGTTACTGAATTATCAAGGATTCTTGAAAGACTGCCCTGAACTTTTTCAGTGGATTGAGTTTCTTTTCCAGAGACGTTAGTTACCTTTTCACTGATTTGAGTTTGTTTTAGAGGGACATCTGTTGCTTTTTCAGTATGTTCAGTTTCCTTTGCAGATATACCATTACAACGTTCTTGATGGTCATTAGCCAATCCATCTTCTGAGATACCATAAAGGGAAACTTTCATAGTTTTCGGCCTTCTTAATTTTTGATTGCTTTCTGAACTTAATTCAGAGTTAACTTCTTTGCCATGTTTCTGGCATTTCGGCTTGGTACCTGAGATGGACCTATCACCAATATCAGAGGGTCTTGTATCTTCCTCCACCGGGTTTTGAACTGTACAAATTTCTTTAACCATGTCGATATCAGAAGAATTCGGTTTTCGTTTCTTCGACCTCAAAGCGCAATCAGTCTTGTCCTTGGTGCTGACCTTCCCACAGATTTTTCTTTTTCCAAGATTTCCATTATCAATTTGATTCTTGCCCTGTGAAATACGCAACTCAGCAGCCATCTTTCTGTCACCAAGATTCAAGGTTTCTGCTCTAAGAGAAATAAGAGGAACGTTTTTTGTTTTTGTTTCAGTTGCTGCAGTACTAAAAACAGCCTTACTCTTAGTTTTCGTAATGTTTGAAGAGTTACCCATGTTATCAGGTGCTTCCTTTTGCATAATTTTTCTAGATTTTGTCTTTGCATCAGAAGGAACCTTAAAATCCTTTTCCGCATATTTCTTAGCACACTTCCTCAACGTTGCTTCCCCAGCAGTCCTACCTCTTTTCTTGGATCTATTATATGCAATTTGAATACCTGAACTTTTTGGTCTCAGAGGTGATGGGTTAGGCAATTCATCACCTGCAATTGCCGTTACATGTTCAGTATCGAAACATTTTTCATTTTCAATCCTATGTTCGTTTGTATTTGAACTCAACAACAGTGCTTCTTGTTTGTTTTCTTGAATTCCATCAATATCACCTGCATTCTCGTCCTGCATATTACTTGAATTTTAGTAAAATCCAAATGATTTGAGCAAACGAAAAGAAAAATTCAAGCAGAAAACTATACATGATACCTGTATCATAGAAGGACTTGAAAAAAGTTCAGGGGAGCAAGCTCTTTGTGTCCATTCAAACATTTCACTATCAAAAAGATCTGCATCATTTGATTTGCCACAAACTTCTTCCTACATCATGTAGAAAAAACACAGCTGAATAACTCCATGGCATCGGACATTAATGCTAAGCTAATTTTAGAAAACCTCCATGACACATAGGCTCAAGTCAATTTGGATAAACGTAGCAACTGTATACTCCAAATATCAAAATTTCAATTTAGCAATGGTTACATAAACTTAAGCATGCATTAGAAGGTGAGTTACAAGTAACAGATCAGTGTACATAGAAGCAACTTGGCAGCTTAATCAAGTTGAATCTGAATGAGCCTAGCATAACAGCTACACAAACTAAATTCACATCTCAAAGACTAAGGTAGTACAGTATTGGGAAAATCAACATCTACATATGATTTTAGGATAAATTCAAAAGACAGAATTAAACTAATCCATTACTTACTGTGGGGGATAATTGAGAGGGGTTATCATTATCTGAATCCTTGATATCACTAAAAGTAGGAATATTTGGAGGTGTTATATCCAAAAGTTGGCTGCCAATAGTATGCTGACTTAACTTCTCTATATCTTCTTCATCTCTCAACCAGAAGAAAGGTGCAAGCACAGGTTCACCATTTTCCTTGGTGACAGGATTCTCCCCTGTGATTGATGAAATGTTCTTAAATCCATGCCCTATGTTTTCACCGGTTCCCATTTCTAGCTTGTCAGGTCGTGTTGGAGTTTCTGAAGGAAGATGTTGTGGAACTTGGACTCTTTTCTTGGTTGGGAAGGCAGGTTTTGCAGCAATGGAATCAGAAACATCCAAGTTGGATTTAATAGTTTTTCTTGACCCTTTTCTTTTGGATGTTTTTTGATTTTCCAGTCTGTCCTGATAAAGCCTATGAACATTTTCTCTATTACTGTTTGTACCATCTTCTGCTCGCTTATTTTCATCTGCAAGATTAGATAAAGGAACGAAATGAATATGATAAGTCACATAAGCCAATCATCCAAAGTCTAATGCAATGAGATTATTGTAGAGAACTTTCGGATAAGCCAGAAAACATAAAGGATAAATGCCTGAAAAAAATATGATGGGCCAATGATATTTTTAAATTAACGGTAAACCAAAAGTAGCTGTTTGCTTTATAAAGTGAAAATAATTCTTTCCTTGAGAATTAGCATGCCAAAAAATGTTAGTTTTTTGCCTTAACAGGGCAAAAGAAAGACCAACCACCTGCAGCAAAGTGTAGCAGAAAGCATGGCAATAGAGCATAACATGAATAGAACTAAAAACAGAATAAAATAAATGTTAAATGTAGTCCACGATAAGGTCCAACATTGATTTATTTATTTTCCAATAGCCTGATGATTAATAAGTTCACTAAGGTCTAAGCATATTGCATATCCAAGTGTATCTTTTGCAATATTACCAGATAATTTAGTTGATGAAGGATTTTGAGTGACAAATATCTGGAATCCTGAAGCAGCTTCCATATTTTTGTAAATGCTCACCAAGCTATCCATGTGAGGAGAAGCTCGAATTTCTGTGGCAAAATCATTCACATTCATATAAAGTTCAAAGAAAACAAGCACGTTCTTGACGTAAAAACCAAAGGAATGTAAAGAAATTGCCATTTCATTCATCATGATATCAAACCATAATCATGCATTCAATTCAGAGTCTCATATAGATTATAATATTTCTCAGGGAGTTCAAGCATTTAATTATATTAGTACATAGAACAGGAAGTCATTTTGAGCAACCCAAAATGCTAATTAAAATTTAAAAGAACAAAGTTCTTAAAGATGTCATTTCAACCCGCAACATTAACAATCCTGAAACTGAGTAATAAGCCATAGAAATCGCATACTGCGTCAAGACAATGATAATGCACAATTTTGTGCTACCAAACCAGCTGTAACTCCTATATTTGTGCATTTCTTTATCAAAATTGGAAAAACCCATCCATTGATGAATGCGATCTAAATTGATTAAATTAACCTGAAAACATAACCAATGCATACCTCTGCGCCGATATGGTACCTTACAAACTGGGCAATTGGAACCCGATTTCATCGACTTCAGAATACACGAACTGAATTGAAAAAAAAAAAAAAAAAAAAAAAAATAAAAAAAAAAAAAAAAAAAAAAAAAAAAAAAAAAAGAAGGAAAATAAAACGAAGTGAACTTACTTGCAAAATACATGATTGCATGTAAGCGAAACAGCCGAATTCAGTAAACTCAAGCTGCAAAATTAAAATGGAAAACTGATAGATTATAGTTTCAACAGATAAATTTTAACAAACACAGAGAAACCAGAAACTGAGCTATGAACTTTAGATTACCAGATGGGGCACTTAAGCTCTCTACCCATTTTCTCAAGGTGACTTTGATCCCCCATAGTAGCTGCAAAGTAACAGTTCCTAGAGGTTTTTTTTTATTTTTTTCCAGAGAGAGGCTGTTGATTAGAGAAAACGAAGAATGTGAATTTTAAAAAGACAAAGGAAAGTTTTGATTTTTAAATCTGCGTCGTGTTTTGAATTTTTGTTCACCCGCCAAATTTTATTTACTTTGGCGGGCACATAAATCTTACTCGAGAAGGTAATAGCGACATTCCCTCACAAATCAGTGTCCACTTTAAAAATTCCCACCGATATCCTTAGGGACAAATAAAAAATACACCCTCCCTCTTACCAAAAATAACCCTAATTTCTTATTACCATAAAAACAAACAAAAGAGCCAAATTTAACTTTTACATAGATTAAGAAAATTACTATAATTAATGTAATTAAGTTATATTTTTTACTTACTTTTTTCTTAATATGTCTTATAATGATATCAAATAATCAATTTTATTCAATTAAAACTAAATAATTCATATTAAATTATATTTTAAAATGATTCAAAATGGAATTTTTCTTTAATACAAATCAAAGTAATTTTTCAACTTTAATTATTTAAAATTTATTGTTTAAGGCAAGGAAATGTCTTTCTATTGTTTTTCTCTCTCTATTTTCTATAGATTTTAGTTTGAATGTTATTGCTGATAATGAGTTACTCTCCTTAGTACCTTCTACCCTTTTATTTATTTTTAATAAATTTAGTTTTGTTTTCTTACTTTTATTCGCTTTTAGTGAATTAAATATATATTTTCATAGTAAATTTATTTTTTTATTTTTTATTGTTGCTAGTTGGATTTTTTTTTTTTCGTCTCTTCTCCCATGAGCATTTAGAGTTTCATTCTTTATGAAAGTCTAATTTAAAGTATGGTATTTAATTTTATTTGATTAGAGAATTTAAATATTGATTTGTCCAACTATAACTATAACTATAACTATTGTGACTTGATATTCCATTGATGTTCTTGATGTATAAAATGGAAATGTTTTTAAAAAAGGAAAAAGAAGTATAATTTTAGACAAGTGAACATAAATTGAGTATATCTTTATGAGATTACTGGTAAAAAATAAAATAAATACATATTTGATTAGAGTTTTTGGCTTATAGAGTTTTTTTAATATACGCTATAATTAATTGGAAAAATAAAATTATACATTATAAAATAGTATAAATTTGTACAAACTTCATAATGTCATTGTTAGTGCTAGATATCAAAAATATATTTTTGTAAAAAGTACTATTGCTAGAGATGAAATTTAAAATTCATCAACTATTATATGTCTAATTAAAAAATTGAAAAACTAATCAAACCAAATTATTAAAATCCGTATTTTTTAGAATCAGTAATTTATGTACTCAATAATATGACCTTGTGTGCTCTCAAATATCAATGTTTTCCTCACACCCTTGTATTGGATAGAGGCAGCAGACTGGCATTCTTTAGTCTCTCGCTATAGAGTTCTTAAAAATATACTAAGCGAACGAAAATACTAAACTCAATGACACGCATAAGAAAAGCTTCTGAATTGTCTGAAAATTTATGCATCAGCCAGAAAAAGAACGAAAAAAGGTTTACCAATAATCCCTACAAGAACAAGAACCATCTCTGAAATGGTGAAACCGACTGCGATCCCTCACAATAATTTCTCTATTGAAAACCTTTGAAATGAGTTTGATTGCCAAATGACAATCTGCACATACTCTTAAATTCTTGACAACCCTAATTGGGGTTCCTGGAGGTGTATTAATAAGCATAAAAGCAACTGCAATCTTCTCACTATGATAAAACAAAGCATTTTCCTTTTCTTCCTCCTCTATGTCTGCAAGAACATTTGCCGTGTGAGGCACATAACCTTCCAATCTCAGCCTCTTTGAGATCTCTAATAACATTCCATATATTGCCTCGCTTTGAGGATGAGTTCTGTCACCCATAACAAATTCATGGACACGATTTCCCAGCTCGACAAGGCTATACCCTGGGGTTTTCCTTACGCCTTCACTAAGCATTGTCCTTCTCACACTATGCACATCTGACCAGCGTTGCTCAGATGCATAAAGGTTAGAAATTAGCACATAATCTCCACAATGCTTAGGCTCTAATTGTAATAGCTGGGATCTTGCAGTCTCTCCTAAAGCCAAATGCCCATGAATTGTGCATGCCCCTAGCAAGGTCCTCCAGACAACAGCATTAGGCTGCAATGGCATATTTTGAATATAGTTATATGCCTCTGTCACCAAACCTGCCCTACCTAGCAAATCAACCATACATCCATAATGTTCCATACTAGGCACAATGCCATATTCCTCTTTCATTCTTTTGAAGTAATCGAACCCCTCATTTACCATGCCACAATGACTACAAGCATATAACACACCAACAAAAGTGACCTCACTGGGCACAAATCCATTTTTCTCCATCTCCTTAAAGTGCCCAAGTGCTTCCATACCAAAACCATTAACAGCCAACCCGACAATCAAAGAAGTCCAAGAAACTACATTTCTTTCCCCCATCCCATCGAAAACCTTCTGTGCATTCATAATGCTTCCACACTTTGCATAAAGGTCCAAAAGGGCATTATTTGCATGCAAATTCTCAGTCAAACCAACTTTGACCATATAGGCATGAACCCTTCTACCCAAGGCCAAGGCACCAATCTCAGCACAAGCAGACAGCAAGCTAACAATAGTGAACCCATCAGGTTCAAGACCCTCCGAACCCATTTCCTCGTAAAGTTTTAAAGCCTCATTGGGTTTTCCATTGAGAGCAAAGCCATTAATCACAGTATTCCATGCCACAAGATCCCTCACAGGCATTAGTTCAAACAACTTGTGGGCACTATTGTATTGTCCACAAGCGGCATACATATGAGCGAGACTGTTTTGAACAAACACCAATGATTCAAACCCATTTCTTATAGTAATGGAATGTATCTTTTCACCAACCCTAGCATTCACCACCTTAGACACGGCCTTTAAAAGAAAAGGGTATGTATGTGTATCTGGTTCAATGGAATTCACATGCATATAACAATACAATGCAATGGCCGGTTTTGGATTTTCACTCTCAGCATAGCCTCTAATCATAGTATTCCAGGTAAAAATATTTGGGTTTTCAATTTGGGTAAAGATACTGGTAGCATAAGTCATGGGGGCTGAAAGAGAAACAATAGAGTATATGAGGTATTTGCCCATGTCTGGATTGCTGAGAGGTACACCATACCTGATTGAGAAGGCATGAATCTGTTTCAGTTTGAATTTGGAAGAAGCACAATTTTGCAGAAGGGCAATGCATTTTTTGACAATGAAAGGTATTGAGTTTTCTGGACAGGCTATGGCTGATTTTGGAGCTATGAAGTTGCTTCTGATATTTGAGTGCATGAGAACATCTGAGTGTGAGAGAATGAGAAAGTGTTATATATTACTGCCTAAAGTCCCAAAATTGTCCGGTCTCAGTTTCTCTTTTGAGTGTCCAAAAATAATAAGTCTGATTTATGTATATTTTTTTAAATGTTTTTTGTCACTCTCTTAATAATCTATGTGAATAATTACTATTAATTGAATTTGCTGGATAGGAAAAAAGTCTAAAGATAACTAATTTTGGAATTTTGATACGGTGCTATTTTAAAAGTTTTAAAAAATTTATTAATATACAATTTTCATATATATGGAAAATTAAAAAAATTATAATTAAACTAATTTAATTTACAATTTTTGAACTGTGTCAAAAAAAAAAAGATTATAATTTTAAGACGAGGAAGTATTATTAATGTGAGATGTGAGAGCACGTTTGCATTATTATTATTCTTATTTAACTTTTTGATACACATCAAATAGGGTATTTTGAAGAGAATTTTTTACACTTGTGAGATCAGTAATATGACTAGCAAGAGTTGAAGGGTACTTTGAAGTATCAATCTTCAATGGACGGAGGCAATTGCATATGCACATGATCAAATAAAACATGAACACATCATAATTTCAAAATTGACAATTTATTAACATTCATTATTTTATTTTGGCTTAATACTTGTTGAACTTTAGAATTTTATCTTTATAGCAATTTAAAGTTTTTTAAACTGCAATGCTTCTAAAGTTGTAATTTTATTATAAATAAGTATTTTCAAAGGCATAATAAATCTATAAAAATTGTTACTAAATATTACAATCATAAATTTTAAGGTGCAAAATTATTATTAAAAATATAAATTTAAGGATATAATAGATCCCTCTAAAATTTTAAGTGCAATAAGAATAAAATTCTAATGTTTAAGTTCACTTATGCATCAAGCTATCTATCTATATAGTATATAATCCTAAAAAAATAAACTTTAAATATTTCATATTTTCTTTTTTATAAATTTTTACTTTTTTTCTTTTACATTTTCTTTATTATTAATATTTCTTATAATTTGATTCGCCACTAAAACTATTTTTTTAATTTATCATATTATATTTAAAGAGTTGTATTGTATTTTGTTTGAAATGTGAATAACAAATTTATCATATTTTTCTATTTACCTTTCTTATTTTGAACACTTTGAATTTTTTTTTTTTTTTTTTTATCTCTCTCTAACCATATGTCCACTATACATTGTTTGTATTTTTATTCTTTTTGTTTCTTTACTGCGAGATTAGGTGAATTTTTTTTTTTTTCCGCTTTTCTTCTTGGATTTTATTTTGTTGCTATTTTTCTTGGATTGAGTTTTTTAAATTTTTTTGCTATTTTGTTGCCTTCATACTCTTTGATTACCGGCCACTTTGACTATTTTGACTGCAATTTTCAATTATAGATTTGAGGCATTAAAAAAATATTGTTGGTAACTCCCTAAAATGCAGATTAAAATTGAGTTTGATTCTTATTAAATACAAAATTTTGCATTTTTTTATCACCTTTCTTGCCTTTCTATTTATTCATAACTATGAATTTAGAAAATAGTTAAGGAGTTAGAAAATATTAGCTTAAAAAATGTAAAACCATGGCTTTGACTTGTGAAATTATAACATTTAGTTATTTATGCTATTTAAAAGTTTATTCTACCATTTGCCTATTTTCTATGTTGCTGAGACAAAAGATTGGACAGAAAGGGATAAAAAAGTTAATTTTATATATCTATTTATTTCTGCTTGAATTTGGATTTATAATTAAAAACCACGAATACATATAGTGATATAAATACCAAGATTATTAGATAATTTATTTCTCAATTTGTTTCCAAACAAAATGAAAACAACTCGGATAAAAGAGGATAATTTGTTTGTAAACATGAATTCTTTAAGTATTCAAAATAATTTATTTAAAAATTACAGGTTTCACTTAGAGGATAATTTAATATAGATAAACATAACTCAGCTGGGCTTGTTACTATTTTATCTATTTGAAATTATTTCTCTAAGTAAATAGCTTATGTCATATAATAAAATAAATTGCAAAATGACAAAGTGCTAAATATACCAACAATGCCCCAAAATAGATACAGATAAAAAAAAGCTTAAAATCTCTAATAAACCTTCCAATACAATAGAAAAGAATATATTTCGAAGATGAGAAAATATAACTATATCTACGTGATTTGTAATCAAGAGATCAATTAGAAATTTGAGTATATATATGTATTAGAAAATTACGAAACATAATTATATTTAATAATCCACTTGATCAATACTTTAAAATGATATGAGTATTGAGTAAAGGATCTATGGAAAAAGACAGGAGAAAG